AATATCAATTCCAACATGTTGGCACCTGCCATCACAGTTTTTAAGGCTAAAGTCACCTGAACGAAATTTGCCGAACCATCGTTGAGACTTAGGAACGTTCAAAACATTTCCATAAACTTCTTTGATATTTTTGTGGCTACAGAGGCATTGACTCCCTTCTTGTATTCAAACGGCATTACATGCCAACTGCGTGACTCATCGTGCACCATCACTATACGGGATTAGAGTACAACTAAACTTTACACATTATATAGGCTACACTAACGTGAAGTTTAGGCAGTCCGTTTAACTATTATACGTGATGTACGTTTTTTGTGAGGTGGTTATTGAAAGTGTTCCAAAACACGAAATTAATTTCTTGACGACCTAATATAATACACAGATACACATTAAAATGCTGATATGTTGTAATAATTACTTATTATTTTCATAAAAGAAAAATATATTAAAACACTTAATTTCGCATTGTTGCTCTATTGTCTCTACCTTAATCATTGATGCTCCCCCAAAATATCATTTATGCCTCCCTGGGGGGCATGCCCCACACTTTAGGAAAAGCTGCTCTAATGTAATAAAAACAACAAAGGTATGAGATTTAATAGTTCAGTTAATCCGTATCACAACTAACCTATGATAAAATAACAAATCAACCGATTTTCAGCATTTTCGTTGAATTCTTCTTGATACTTAGCCTCTGGAATATAGTCATTTCCTTCAAGAGTTTCTTCTGTAATGCTTACTTCACCCTGGAATATAGTACTTTCTTTACAACAAGATACAACTGAAGATCTCATTGGAAAATACAGATATAGAGCATCTGATATAGCTCTAAAATTAAAAGGTTATATTGTTTTGAATTATTTTCTCTTTTATACAGTGTGTATTCTGACTGTCTTTGATTCCATAAAATAATTATTTGAATTTTTTCAGGCTAACAAACAAAACAAATGTAAAGGAAGGCAGTGATTTATATTTTGAACAAGAAATAATAAATAATTAAGTTAGACCTTTTAAGACAAAAAAAAAGAGAACATCCAATAAAAATAAATCCAAGCTTCTATTACTCACAGTTCTCAGTCTGAACTGTGGCAATTTGTCTTGCTTATTACGAACAAAAATCTGAATTTCTGCATGCCTGTTACCAGAATCTTCATTACTAGTGCACAGAGGAGGCTCTCCTTTATCACAAGCCCTAATGAAAAGCTGAAATAATAAAGTATTATTTTGAAAAAAAGTACAATCAAAAGGGTTTTTTCAGCAATATCCTGTATATTATAAACCTATTATGTATCAAAAACACTGTATTTTTAACCATAAAAAACAAAAATAACATACAATGCATGTTAGTATAATATAATAAATTATCATCTTTACAATATTGATAGGCTATTAGTTTTTTTTTTAGAAAAATTAACAAAAAAGTATAATGTAAAACCTGAATTATCCAAATATTAATGCCCAATAAACTAGTACATATTCTAGTAATTTCACTTCCTTGTGCAATTATTCACTCTATATTGAACTAATCAGTTCTTAATATTTTCAGTTTTTATAGTTATTCACTATATTCTGAAGTATTCAGCTCTTGTTGTTTGTTTTATATATTCACTTTCAACTGAACTAATAAGTTCAAATTAATTTAATTCATTTTACAATACATGTAATCAACATTCCAATGGATAATCATTAGTTCCTGTTTTCAGTTTTTATATAATCATTTACTTTCCACTTAACTAATCAGTTCTTATTAGCTTCACTTTTTATTGTTATTTACTCTCCATTAAACTAATCAGCTCTTACTAGCTTTACTTTTTATTCATTTATTTACTTTCCACTGAACTAATCAGCTCTTACTAGCTTCAGTTTTATACAATTATTTATTTTCAACTGAACTAATCAGCTCCTAATAGTTTCAGTTTTTATACAATTATACACTTTTCATTGAACTAATTAGCTTCTATTAGTTTCAGTTTTTATTTATATAATTTTTCACTTTCCACTAATTAATCAGTTCCTACTAAACTTTTTTTTTCTCTGGAGAGGAAATGGGTCAGAGGGGATTTGATTGAGGTTTTAAGATTATTAAGAGTATTGATAATATTGATCCATTAAACTTTGTGTTTAGCAGTGAAAACAATAAGACAAGGGGTCATAAGTTCACATTTTGGCAGTGTAGGAGTCGTCTGCAGTTTAGACAGTACTACTTTTCAAAGAGGGTGTTTGGCTTTTGGAATGAGGAAGCAGAAAATGTAACTGAGTTTATGAAAAGATTGGATAAATACATAAATAGTAAGAGGTGGTTATAGTTGGGAGGAGGAAGTGACATTATTGATAGGTTAATAAGCTCCTTTTTGTCCCTTTAAAATTTTTGGAATATATTACTACTTTCAGTTTTTATAAAATTATTCAACTGAACTAATCAGACTGATGTTTCACATTTTCATTAACAAGTCTTACAGTTACACTGAATTTTAAAGAGACTAACAATAAAAGAAACATTTTGACCTGTTGGAATATAATCAGACAATTTATAGGCTAAATCACTCTAGATCAATAATTATCTTTTTTTTTTTTACATTGAACAAATCAGCCCCTTATATATTATAGCTACAGTTTTATAGTATTTAAAGGTATCATTGACTTTTTACGAAGTAGGCTAAGACACTCTAGACTAATAATATTACTAAGAATAATTTACATCTTCCTCAGTTGAATTTCAGCTCTTTCATATTTACAAGTCTCATCACAACCACAAAGCACTTTTGATTAAACAAAACTCATAATTTTCAGTATAAGAACTTAATGTTATGATCTTAAAAGATTCAAAGCTCTAATCTATTCATATTTTTAGCTCTCACTCTTTTCAAGTATAATGTACCTCAAATAAAATGTAAGAAATACTTTATTCAAAACTCTTATAGCAGTTAATGTAACATTAATTTAAATACACTTTTTTAAACAAAAAGAAACTGTTTAAATTGAAACAACACTACAAAACTGTCACTTCTTACCATGTAATTTGATTTTGTAGCTTTGTTTAGACGACCTTTAAGTCTGATTCTACCAGTATTTTCATCAATTGAAAAGGTTTCAGTATTTTCTTTCCCTTCTGCACAATCGATACATATCTCATAACGAATTTTTGAATTGTCTGTGTGCTGAGAGTCGTTATCTTCAGCTTTCACTTCTGTTACAGAATATCCCTCTGGCTCATCCTACAAACACATCATTACTCTCTGTTTATCTTTTAAGCATATCAGCATTCTGATACATAGATCTTATTATAGAGTATTCTTTACAATATTGAGATATTTTTCTACACCTGTAAGTTATCTTTTGCTTCATCTATTTAAATATCAGTTAAAAGTACCTGTGCAATTCCTTGTAAAAAGTTACTACTGTGCACAAATTGTTATTATCAAGAAATGACTGTTAAGAACATCAATAAGTTCACTGAATACAGGAAATTTTACAAGAAAAAAATAACAAACTTTTAAATTAAAGTGGACATAAAAAAGTTACTTTCCCTTTGAATTGGCAGAAGACACATATATGATGAAACTATTGATTCATAACTTCCCTATTTGCCATCCTTTATCATAACTGGCCTCACTTTCAAACTATTACCTGTTGTTCAAAAAAAATATTTTTTTGCATTGGATGGCTTTATTTTTATTTAGGTGGGTGGGAGGAGTAATTTGGGATTTGTCTCTACAAGAATGTATTTCAAACATATCCCTTACTTATGGACACTAAAATTTATGAATGAGAAGGAGGTAGCATAATTCTTGAAGTGGACATTTCAGAGAGAGCACACACAGTTAAAGTCAAGTTTACTTTTTATGAACTGTTCCATTTAATTGTCCAATGCAAAGACAAATCCTCAAGTTATTCATCATATCTTCAAGCCAGGGAATAGACAAAATCATTTCTGGAAAACAACTGTGGAACTCATCAGCAAACAAATGTCTGAAAAACACTGTTTAGAAATTAAATATAATAAGAAGCATATTTTTAAAGGCAAATCTAACAGAGAGTAGCAATTCAAGGAAACAGAAATTCCACTCTAAGTTGAATTCAGAGGCAAGCAAAATTGTGGCTGACATTAAATTCAATAAGGTCAAATGAAAAACCCACAATAGTAGATGATCTCAGAATAACTAAAGAACTTTTCATGTGGAAGGGCAAGTTTTTATATTTGTAGTGGTGGAATAAAAGAGGCAAAGAAAAACAATTGAATAAATTGAGTTGTTTAAACATTTGTTTAACAAGTAAAAGATTGGAGTGGTCTATTCTTTCATTGGGGATGTGTCTGTGATTCAGACTAGTTTTGGGAACTAGTTTAAATGTTTAAACAACTCAATTTATTCAATTATGTACAAGCTGCCCAGTGTCGGCTAATAATAATATGGAGAATTAAACTGTGGCAAAATGCTACAAGTTCTTCAAATACCAATAGAATGATAGGTTTCTTTTTTGTTTGAAACAGAGAATAAAATACTGTTACGACAGCGGAAGTCACGTGATGCTAGTAACACGTCATGATATTCTCGAAGGTTCGTGAATGCTCGAGTGTTTACTAGATGTACGGTGTTCTTGTATATAAGACCGCCAAGAAGTGATGACAAAAATGGAATTGAATTGCAGACAGAGATAGAGACAGACAATTGAGTCAAGTACGTGAATCGTTCATTGTGAATTATAGCATTTGTTTAAGTTATAGCGTGACTGTGGAAATTAAGTGTATTGCAAAGTTGTATTGAGAAAGAATAAACTAGTTTTATTTAAGAAAGGACTTGTGTCACTAAAGTTTCATCCGAAAGAAATTTTACGGAAAATTAACAAACGACTAGAGACGTAACAATACTTTATTACAGGAGATAAACTGAAGAATGGTTAATCATGATGCTGTTGGATTATTATATTGTTATAAACTGAAATAAATGGATAACTGTATTAACTAAAGAGAAAGGGAGATAAAAGAAAACTATATTTAGTCAGAGGTAATTTAAAACAAATTTCATTTGAAGATATGCTACAGATAAAACACATATGACCAACAGAATGGAGAATCTATAAAACAATGACAAGAATTCACCAAGTCTTGACTATCTCAACACAGAAAGTAGTCTACCCAAAAACCCTATTTACAGTTCACATTACCTCCTGAACTAACCAACTGGAAAACTGGATCACAAGAATCCAGATGTATCTCTGCTCTGTGTTATAGTTGTAAAACAGTCCTCTATAAAAAAGGTGAAGGTAGAAAGACACAACTATTCCATGAAACAGTAAATAGCTTCTAGAATCAGTTGCAAAGCACAATGCTACAAGGGTCTAGGGGCAAGCCCCCTAGAACATTTGTAAAAATAAGTGCTATGAGAGTAAATCTGAATATAATGTCTACTGAAGTGAATTTAGAAATGATGGAAAGAAGTCACAATTAAACAAAGAGTGTCATCACACAATAATGGTGGTAACTTTAGAGTGGAATTGGGTTGAAGGTTACATGTGTTGCAGCATTATGTCTTTGTATATACATGATTATTCCATTCAAATATGTGTGTGATTTAATTTCAAAATGCTAAATACTTTAATATTTTGAATTTGAAGGATTTTTTCTGAAAATTAATATTGAAGGTTACCTAACAGTAATTATTAATGTTATGTGTACAAGCCTATTCAAAATGGCTGCTTCTAATAGGCCTTATGCTAGTGGTAGGCATAAAAATTACAAAATGTATCTTGAACCTGAAAACTACTCATCTGTTGTACTGTGCTCTACAAAATACCAATGGAAAACTGTTTTAAGATCACATGAAGAAAATGCTAATGAAGTTCAAGATAAGATGTTAACCAGGAGGGAAATTTGTGTAAGTTGTGATCATAGCTTAAGCTACTGTATTGTGTAGTCATCTGTTGTGCAGTACCTATAGCCTGATGAAGTGATACGAATGGCATGAGTTAGGCAGAATGATTAACTATTGTATATATATATATATATATAGAATTGGGCTGCATGCAGTTTCTCAACTGCTCTAGTTCAGAACTGCCCAATGCTATTGTTACATCATATTCAAGGCTGGGCTATATTCCATGTCATGATGGATCTGCACACTGCTCAGGGGACCATGACTCAGATTTTCCAATCAGCCCCTCTTGCCCCACCTGTTGCTCCTTCCCCATGAGATCAACAGAAAACTAAAAAGATTAAAAGACCATGCCTACACTTGCCCCTCCTACTCCTATTCCTTTCCCTCCCCAATAAGAATTTGGTTATCCTACTGCATAGGATCGAATGGTTTGCCTTAAGGCACCTAGCTGGTTCCCATAATCCATGCACACAAGGGGCAAAGCACACTACGATCCGACCTTGAAGAAACTGGGAGAAAAAGTCTGGAGCAAAAAAAGCAGTGAAATGTTTTACTATCGTGAAGGTTGAGAACCAAATCAATTATCATTTAACTGAAATAAATGGCCTGGCAGAAAAATAAATGAATAACTCTCAAGAGGGAAACTCAGTTTCTCCCACTGAAGTCAACTGAAACCAGTTGGATCTCAACTGGTTTCCAGCTGCCAACACAAAGTCCCATAAGTATCATTAAAACCTGTTCTGTTCCCATTATCTTCTCCCGAACAATCAATGCAAACATTAACTTTAAAAACAAACATTTTCAGTAGATACAAATCCACATTTGTGTAAAGATGGAGTTACTATTTAAACATTAATTGAGATACGTCTGAATCCACTATCAGGTAACAAAGATAAAAAAATCTCACCTCTTGAATGTAAATTTTTTCTTCAGACTTTACAAACTTAGGAGTATTCAAATTTACATCTTGAACAAAAATACAAAAAGTTTCGACAGAGTTTAGGGATGGGTTTCCCTTGTCCTTTGCTGCTATAGATACATTGAATTTTTGGTGAAGATTCAGTAAAATACCAGAAACAGTAATCATTCCTGTTTCATTGTCAATTTCAAAGAGCTCTAAATTGAAAAGAATGGATGTTAGTTTTAAGTAACATTTTGTTTTAATACAGTGAAACATGTTTGAGTAAACAAAAATTAATGAAAGTAGAAAGAATTAAAAACTTGTACATATTCAAATACTTTTCTTTATATTGTCATCCAAACAGAAATACATTGAATGAGTGTGTTAAAGAAAATATACTATGCTAATTACTTGTTTAAATGTAAATTTCCTTCATCTTTAGATTGAGAGTTTCACAATCATTTGTAAAAGACGAGGAAATTTGTTTTTGCAGATATGTATGACAAATTTATGATAATTCTTCTGTTTTCATAAAAAAAAATATTATCACACATTTAAATACAATACTATCTCAAGCGAATATTTAAAAATTATTTAATTGTGGCATCAAGTTATGTGAATAGAATATGTCAGTATATTATCAAAATCCAAGTTCAAAAAACTATACTTCTAGAGTAGAACATACCTGAATGAACAGAAAAAAAAAGATTGTTGTTGTACAAACTATTATCCTGTCATAAGTAGTGGAAAACTTATATAGGTTGAAAAGGTTCTGTAGGCCTAGGCCATTTATTGAACAAAACTTGCTGAACAATAAAATGAAATATTATGGTAAATTCTTCTTTCTTTTAATGGATAAGTATACCTTTTATATACTTTTTAGGCTATAACCTTTTCAAAATCACTAATTTATTGAAATGATAAACATACTTTCTATTTCTCCATTCTCAGTAATGGTATATTCCACAAGACCATTATTTCCCTTATCCTGATCTGTTGCTTTTACTGTTTTAACTTGAAATCCTCTTTCAGTGTTTTCAGGTACTTCTGCACAACCATCCCATTTCTCAAACTCTGGATGATTATCATTAATGTCCCTAAGGGTCACAAACACCTGAAAAGAATTCCCATAGGTGAAACAACATTAAACCTAATTTTTGAATAACTTTTAGCTTTACTTATGGAAATTATATAGTTTATTTATAATCTTGGTTATCTTAAACAGGGGATCTTATAATCGGTGGGTGTTGCAAATAAATAATTGAATCTTCAGGTGAAGAATGTAAATAGCACACTAAAGAACTTTGATTTTTCTGCCAAGTTTTGTGTACATGGGTTTACCGAACTTTATGACTTTCTTGATTTATTACTTTTACTCTTGTTTCACCCAGGAAATAACTTAATAAAATGTTTTTTGTTGTAGTTACTAAATAACATATAGCTTTCCTGATTTAGGCATTAACTTTACTGGTTTTTTGTATATTTATGACTTTCTAAATTGACTCATTATGTTTTATAATTGATATGGTAGCCATATACTTAGACCCATTGAACTTAGATCAGTTATGAACCAGACACTAAGTAACAAAAAAATCTGAGGGTCAGTTTTTCCATTTTGGATACTAGTTTTATCACTTCAAAAGTAATTAAATGTATAACATTCATAATGTGATATATAAAGGGAGTTGAGTGACATCATTAAGATCATCTGGTCTTCCAGAAAATGTTTAGTATATTTTTCCATGTATTGTTGTGTGTTCCATTTACGGTACAATATGGCTGGCGATGAGAGTATTATGTAAAAAGGAGTTAGAGGTATTTTGCCTTAGAAATGGTTAAAAACAAAAAGAAATAAATAAAACTATACTTAAGTGTTTAAGTGAAATAAAGGTAACACTTGGAGACTGATTGAAAAAGAGATGTTAAGCTAATTGATTTATACAAACAGGTATGGAAAACTATCTTAAATAGAGAGTAAGTTTGAGAAAAATTAGGGTTCTTGCTACATGAAATAAATAAATAAAGAACACAATTTATTTTTCTGACAGAGATGAAACCAATGATTGGAGGTAACTGATTCCAAAAGGTTGAACAGTGTTTAGATTAGTAATCCAACAAGCTTATTTTATCTCTCTATTAGCTTTAGGTTTGAATCCTGTTTCAATGCCGATGAGAGTAACACTGTTAATGGAATGCCTGGGTTGGTTAAAGTGTTGGGTAACAGGAAAATCTTTTTTGGTGTTAATAGAAGATTTATGGTTTCAAACAGTCTCCAGGTGTCACCTTTACTTCACTTAAACACTTAAGTATAGCTTTATTTATTTCTTTTTTAACCATTTCTATAACAAAATACCCCTAACACCATTTTACATAACACTCTCATTGCCAACCACATTGTACCAGAAATGGAACACACTTACAACAGTAAATGGAAAAATATACTAAACATTTCCTGGAAGACCAGCTGACCTTCATGACATCACTCAATTCTCTTTATAAATGTATAACATAATACTGATTTTTTAACTTACCAAATAATGTTGATTTTTGGAGGTTGGGTTGCACCAGTATAACAATACTATTCAAATTATGCTGTTCTTGGTTGACTTAATATTCAGTTTATGACCGTATAAATAATTATTTAGTGACCCATAACATTTACAGATTTCTAAATTAAACCTTTGATTCTGTATTTACCAATAATGATTATAGCTTCATTAGTTGATTTATCAAGTTTAGAAGTGTTTTTGGTTTACCTATATTAGAATTTTCTTAAGTAACCTGTTCTTGCCCAGTTTAAAGTACAAGTATTTTTTAAATTTATTTGAAGTGTTTTTGATTAGGTTTCACAATGACATGAGTTTACTTAATGGGAATTACATTTATTGATCCATTGTATTGACTGATGTATAGACTGATTAAGTCAATGCTTTTCTTCAATCCTAGACAAACTGAGAATGTTATAAAAGCTAGAGCAAGAGATAAATGTACGTTGTATGATTATAAGAGTTAGTGTATTAATAAGTTAAGAAGGACAAAGTTATTCACTATTTAAGTAACAAAAGGTAGAAAAAAAGAAAGAAGAGGTTATTTGATAATGCCAGAAAGTATGTCTGTATAGGACTTAATAAGAGAATTAATGTCTCTCTCTAGAAAAAGACTTTTTTGTATGTTCTAGTATATACTTTATGTGTTAATTGAGAATAATGACAGGCCTGCATACTGGAGTTATGACAATCTTGCAATAAACATTGTTTAAACACTTGGAAATAGTGAAACTTGACCAATGTTGATTTGCGGAATATGGTCCAACAAACAAATATAAATGAAATTATCTATTCAAATAGGGGTATTGCCAGGGGGTGTGAGTTTAAACAAATTCCCTTCTGGACCATATATAAACATGAATTCCACAAACTGATATATCTTCTTGCAAGTTAGTAGTGAAAGCAATACGTATATTTAGCATAGACATAACATATTCAAACATACTGAATGGCTAGTGGTCTCATTTTTCCTTACAAAGTGAATGAGCAAGTACCATATCATACTGACCAGGATATATCTTTGATATTGTCATTTATGCTGGGGTAACTAAATATGTTGCAGAAAGCTGTGACTGTTTATTCACACCTACATAATCCTAGCCAGTTCAACACAATACAACATGGTACTTTAACTGAAGGATTCAAATGACAGTATATCCACCTCATGTTAAGTGCAAAATATTTGTTAAAAATGGATTTTGATATATATATATATACACACACATAACTTGTTCATCAGTGATTTTTCACCATAATACATGGAGTTTTACATGTATGTATATATGAACACATATCTAAGGTGCACCATGAACAACTCCCCTACCCAAAAAAATTCCTAGTGATACCCATGAAACCAAGATTTTGCTTTGCCATAAGTATTTGAGTAATCATTTTGGTTAAAAGAATTATGGTAAAGGCCAAATGTGCAACACTAAATTACAACTTTCTTGGTTCATATATTTGTAAATTTATTCTTAAATTATTTTTGCAATTTTATTTGCTTTTACATATTAATATTCTCGATTCATTTATCTATCTTGTAAACTTCTTTAAGTTAAAAAAAAAAACAACAACCTTTTTTGGTTCACCAATTATATCTAAAATCACCTTAGTTTGCTATTTTTGGAAAAACAAAAACACATGAATATTTCCTTTATTCTTTTAATAATATTGTAACCTAAGTTTATTATGCTAATTTACTTTCATTAATATATTTGTTTCATTACCGTAACTATTTCTGTTAGTAATCTTAGTGCTTATTATAATGTTAACAAACCTGGGCTGTACCCTTTCTGCGGTCATTAGGATTTTGTGGATTATCAAATGCTTCAACAATAAATTGATAATTTTCTTGGTATTCCCTATCTAGACGATCTCTGTTTGTAATGGCACCCTGAAACAAAAATAACAATAATAAACCACAGATTTGTTACACCATTCAGTTAAAACACTTGCATTGTCAAGGCTATAAAGTTTGCATCTTTGTTGAAAAAATTAGAAATACAATATTTTAAGAATATTTTTTAAAATTTAAAACATACTACCCCAACCTTTAAAGTGTGAAAAATAAGTAAGGTTTATTTTATTTTATTTAGACTAATAGATGATTTTTTAAACAAAAGTAAGTAAAGTCTGTGTTGCCTTGTACTGATAAATGGTTTACTTCTTGAGCATTCAACAAAATGAATACAAAGAAATGGGTCTGAGGAAATATAAATGCATTAAAGTGAAAAGTTTTTTTCACCTGAAAAAGAAT